CGTGAAACCGAAGAAACCGGCTTRCCTTGCATCTTGCGTTCATAGCGTGCGAGAACGTCTGGAGCTGTTGCTTGAARTYCYGCATGGGTTAACCAACTGTCAGCTYGGTGTGTGCAGTATGCAAAGTGCACCAAATACTGAGTTGGCTTGTTGTCGTAGCRTYGCTGGGAGATGATGTCGCCGACCTCCTGAAAACCGTCCATAGAAGATGGGTCTTCCGTACGTCTCCCGGGAAAATCGTCATGTTCCGCTGGCRTGTAAAGAGCCAACYTGGAGCAATGAAAGACWGGGTAGAMCGGCAAGTGGYCAGGCAGCTGAATCGTGAAGGAAGGTCCCTCGGGTGCGTCCCCAGMGRGCGCTACRATCGGCCAAGGCCCCATCCATTTYGGGAGGAGCTTGCGAGAGATGTCTTGTTCAAGGCTGAATTCCGCTGTGGAAACCCAAACAAGGTCGCCTGCGYGGAATGKGCAAGGAARACGCTAGYGATTGGCCTGTTGGCTCATGCGCTGCTGCGTCTTAGCCATCTRATCGCGTGCCTTGACAAGAAGCTCTTGCATCCGACGCAAGAAAATAAGATGGTCGTCGCTCTCGACCGTGCGTGGAGTAATAGTGTCTAACGGTGAAATGACCGGCGAGCCGTGCTCAAACTCAAAGGGCGACATCCCGATAGCCGGGTGGATAGATGAGTTGTAGGCCAACTCGTCATCCGACAACCGCTCAACCCAGTCCTTCTGGTCGGGGCAGATGAGAGTGCGAAGGAGAACTTGTGCGGTCTGATGCGCCCTCTCCGTCTGGCCATCGGTCTGAGGGTGGCGAGCTGAACTTGGCTTGAGAGATGAGCCCCATCGCTTGATGAGTGCCAACCAAAAATCGGACATGAACCGAGTGTCGCGGTCGCAGACGATTTCCTTGGGGTAACCCTTGGTTCGAATCCAACCGGCGTAAAGAACCTCGGCCAGCTCCGGTGCCTTGGCATGATAGCGACAAGGCAAGAACATGGCGAACTTGGTGAGTCGGTCGACCACCGTGAGAATCCCATCCACTCCGGTCTTGTGCTTGGGGAACGGGCCGGTAATGTCCATGGCAATCACTTCCCTTTGCCTCAACGGGACTGGTAGTGGTCGTAACTCGCAGTACGGACGATGATTGCGGGATTTGCAGCGCCGGCAAACCTCGCATGACTCGCAATAGCGTGTGACGTCGCCGAGAAGGCCGGGCCACCAAAATCGCTCGCGGAGTCGGCCAATCGTGCGATTGACTCCAAAATGTCCGGTGGCGGGAGCGTCATGGAACTCGCCAAGAAGTCGTGTACGCAAGTGAGGATCACTTGGTACGCAAAGGAGGTCCTTCCCCCGCGTGTGGACAAGCAAGTACCCCTCTTGGATCCGGTAGTGAGAAGGAGCCGGATTAGGAGAGGAGCAATTCGCGTACCTGTCACGAAACTCGGGGTCGGCTTGGTAGCCGCGGATGAAACTGTTCCGCAGGTCGTCGTCATTCTCGAAGGTTGAGTAGACCGCGGTACAATGATCCGGACGCCGTGAAAGAGCATCCGCAAAACTGTTCGACTTCCCGGGAATGTGATCGGGAAAGAAGTCGAACTGGTTTATGAAAGCCATCCATCGAGCGATTGATGGTGTCTTGGGTCTTGTAAAATACCAACGGATTGTTGTCCGTTACCCAGCGAAATTGGCTTCGACCAAGGAGGAAGTGCCGCCACCGCTTGAGCGTGTGGACGAAGGCGAGGAGCTCCTTCTTGCGTGCATCATCAATGCAATGCACAATGGGCACTTTCTTGCTGAAGTATTCGACCGGGTGCCAGTCCACACCGTCATGTTGCTCGAGGACTGCACCAATGCCATAGCCTGACGCATCCGTAGTAACGCGCGTAGGCAAGAGCGGGTCGTATATCCGCAAGACCTCGGCAGACAATAGCGCGGCTTTGAGAGCGAAGAATGATCCCCGCGCCTCCTCTCCRAACTCAAACGGCTGATCCTCGCATTGAAGCTTGTTCAAGTGGGCCGCGATCTTCGAGTAGCCTTTGATGAAGCGTTGATAGTAGCCGGCGAGACCGAGGAACRAGCGGACATCTGTGACGTTCCGAGGCTCCGACCACGCTTGGACGGCCTGAATCTTGTCCGATAGCGGACTGATGCCCTCCGGTGTGACGAAATGGCCCAAGTATTCCAGCTCCTGCCGGACAAATTCACACTTGTTGCGGCTGGCCTTGTACTTGGCGCGGCGGAGCGTCTCCAACACTCGTCGAAGATGCCCAAGATGATCCTSCAATGACCGGCTATAGACGAGAATATCGTCTAAGTAGACCAGCACGAACCGGTCCAACATTGCACGGAATTCATTGGTCATTGCTGGCTGAAAGGTCGCCGGGGCGTTGGTAAAGCCAAAAGGCATGACCACCCACTCGAAATGCCCGTACCGCGTCTTGAACGCGGTCTTGTAGCGGTCGTTCGGCTGGATGGAGATTTGATGATATCCTGATTTCAAATCCAACTTGGAAAAATATTTTGCGCCGCCCAATCGCTCAAGAAGATCGTCGATGTGAGGAAGAGGCCCCGCATTCTTGACAGTTAGCGCGTTGAGCTTGCGGTAGTCGATACACAGTCGTAGATCCTTGTTCTTCTTCCTGACGAAGAGAACTGGTGCTCCATATGGGGAGCTGCTAGGGCAGATACAACCCTTGGCCAACAAATCGTCGAGTTGTGTGCGGAGGACCTCAAGTTCCTCCTCGCTCATCCGATAGATGCAACCTTTCGGCGGCACGGCACCGGCCTCAAGAATGATCTCGTGAGAGATCGGCCGATCCGGCACCACACCGGTAGGTGACTCGAAGATGTCGGCGAACTGGTCCAGCAACCGTACCACACGGGGGTCYGAAGACAAGTCCGTGGGTGAAGAGTTGGCTACCGCAACGGTCCGTAGAAAACATAGGCCGATCTCCTCGGGCTGCTCGTAAGCGCAAGTCGCCCGGAATGATTTTGTCGTCACCACTTGGCACCAGATCGAAGGGTGCGGTAGAGGAATAGTACACGCCACTTCCGCGCCGAAGGTGTCGCGAACGCGAAGAGTCCGCCAGTGGAAGTTGATCGTGTGATCCGCACTTGCAAGCCAAGGCATTCCCAGAATGATGTCGAAGTCTGTGTCGAGAATATCGAATGTCACCGGTTCGCATGCATGAGGTGCGAAGTAGACCGGTACAGCCTCGATGTAACGGTCGAGAAGTTGTTGCGTCTTTCCATCCGCCAACTTGATCGCTGTCGGGTTTGCCTTCCTCCGAACTTGTGCGCCAAGGCCAGCCTTTTGCATAAACGACAGGCTCATGAAATTGCGAGACGCGCCGCTATCCAGCAAAGCGCTGCAGGACGCTTGCCCAACCTGAATGCGGACATACATGAGCGGTGTGTTGTTGTCATCGTACCGCTGCGTGCGAAACTCGCGGGCCACCTTGGTAGTATACGCCAGGATGTCCCCCACCGCGACTTCGTCATCCGTCGGCGAAGTTGGTGGTGCATAGAAGGATAAGTAAGTGTGGAGATGAGCGCTWAGTGTTGCGCATTGYGGTCCYGGCAAGCGGCCTGTGGTCGGGAGAGGAAGCCATGCAAAGTCCTCAGACGTGAGCGGGTCAAATGCCTCTATGTTGAACTCGCGTGCTGAATCCCGTGAAGAACCACTTGAAGACAATATGTCGYCGTTGCCGGACCTAGAAGAAACCGCACACAMTTCTTGTCCTTGAGCTTGAGTACCCAGCGTAGGAACGAGCCGGGCAGCATAGTCCTCAAAAGAAAGTAGAAGAGGAGGACTATCGACTTCCGCGTGCGCCTCGGAATGAAGGYCGGTTACTCGCGAAGAAACCGGTTCCGAAGGTGTCGAGAGTGTCCTCGAGTCACTCTCGGCGGTGCTCAGTTTCCCTGTTTGCCCTGCCTTTCAATGGGCAGACCTGCGTCTGATGAAGATCGTTGTTGCACAAAAGGCAATAATGGAATCTCTCGCGTGCTTTGAATGCTTGCTCGGAGATGCCATATTGGGACCATCGGCCTGCCTGAGCTGCTGCACCGGGCCCGGGGCTAGATGCGGTGTGTGTCTTCGTCTTGCCGCGTCCTCGGCCTCTGTCGGGGCGGCCACCTTCCCGGGCGGCTGCGAGTCTGTCTCCTTCACTGGCAGACACAACCTCGCTGGATTGGTCAAACAGCGTTGCCGCTGCGACCACGGCCATTCTTGGCCGATGGTGGTCCCTGCTCAGGCCTGACGCAGATGAACGGAGGTTCTTGGCCTCCTTGTTCGTGATGATGATCTGCGCGGCATTGTCAAACAATTCAGCTGTGGTTGTCAAGGTGTCCTTAACATGCGTCAGGGCATTGCTTTATGTCGGACATGACCTTGAGATGAAGTAATGACGGATGGCTTTGAAGCCCATCTGGATGTCTGGGACTGACGTCAAGCGTTGGTACTCGACGATCCAGTCCGTACTCGGCAGCGCGCCTTGCTCGAAGATCATGAGCTTGTCCATGGCCTTGATCTCCGGCGGCTCCACCTGGAACCGYTTGTGCCACGCCGCCTTCAGATCATCCCAACTGATCTTGGTGTGCAAGTCGTTAGCTACCACTCCGTACTTGGACAAGAGGTTGTCCAACCAAGCCTGGCACGCGCCCCCTGAGCRAGAGTATAAGTATGCGTGGTGCTTGTGTTCCTTGACGTTGTGTAGCTGTAGTGTGAGCTCGAACTTGCGGAACCATGGGATCGGATCTGTCTTCATTGAGTCGCAGAAGATCTCCTGCCCGTCGAACTTTGGAGTTGTCTCGCGCGGTTCTGAACTCGAGGTGGTGGCGGTAGTGCAGATCCGTTGTTGCAACTGTTGTGTCGCGGTCTGCTGTAATTGCACGCCATCCTTGAGTGAGCCGACGTCCATCTCCCATGCATTGAGGCGGTCGGCAGTGTTGGAAGAGCTTGCGTCGGCGGCGGCGACTGGTC